TGTCATGACCCCCATGACCCCCCCTGGATCCGCCCTTGCCTCTGAAGAGTGTTTGCGTCGTTACTAAGACAGATATCGTCGGTTCCAATAAAGAGTTAAATGTCGCCGTGGATTTTTGCTTCCTAAACCGTCCTTCCACCCGAGGCAAAGTTCAAACTTTTTTTTTTTTTTGATTGGGTTTTAGATTGATGTCCGGTTTGGGGCTACTGCTGATCGCCATCGGAACTGGAGGGCTGAAGCCGTGCGTGGCTGCTTTTGGGGCCGAGCAGTTTCGCCTCCCCGAGCAGCGAGCGCTTTTGAGGTGCTCCGCTCCTCACCCCCTCACCGGCCCACTCCTAATCCTCCCGTTTCCAGGTACTTCTTCTCCTTGTTCTACTTCACCATCAACCTGGGCGGCTTCATCGGCATGACTCTAACCCCGGTTTTGAGGAAAGCCGTCACGTGCTTCGGTGACGACACGTGCTACGCATTGGGGTTCGGCTTCCCCGCCCTCCTGATGGTTCTGTCCATTCGTAAGTGGTTTATGCCAAAAGGGGCGGAGCTAACTGGGGTCTGATCCTTCCAGTGCTGTTCGTGCTGGGGAAGACTTTCTACAAGCTGAAGACGCCGAAGCGCAACATTATGCTGGAGTTTGTTCAGTGCTCTTGGGTAAGTATGAGGGCGGGGCCTAGAGAAAGCTTCTGAGTAGCGGCTGTTAAGTGCGCCCTGTTGGCAAGGCTGCGCCGACGCGCCCCAAAGCACCACCACCATTGGCTGGATTATGGCAAGCAGGACTTCGACAGCAAGCTGATCCAGGACATGAAAGTGGTCTTTGCCATTCTCCTCCTGTTCGTGCCATTGCCCATCTTCTGGTCGCTCTTCGACCAGCAGGGGTCCAGATGGACCTTCCAGGTAGCACAGGCCAAATGGTGTTTGGCAAGTCTACTGATTGCTGTAGGCTTCTCACATGGACGGCAATCTGTTCGGCTCCCAAATCGTCCCCGATCAGATGCAGGTGATCAACCCGCTAATGGTGCTGGTTCTGATCCCCCTCTTCGACAAGCTGCTGTATCCGCTGTGCGAAAAGGCGCAGTTGCTGACCAATCCGCTGCATCGCATGGTGATTGGCGGGATGACCGCAGGGCTGGCATTCGTCGGAGGTGCGCCTGCTGGCCAATCGCGGAAGGTGTTGATGCCAAGTGGTGCGTTTTAGCTGGGATTCTGGAACTGGTGCTCGAGCGCAGCTACCCGGATCTACCGGGAAAGCATCAAGGCTCACTCAACGTGGTCAACACCCTGCCTTGCAGTTTGGTGCTTTACAGCCCCTTTAGCAACACGCGCGTGCTAGAGGCCGCGAAACTCCTAAGGCAACAACTCCTGGGGAGTTACTATAGAGAGTCCTAGAAGTTGGTGTCGTTCTGTGCAGGATTGAGAACCTGCGGTGCCACAATCGGAGCCGGTATTGGCTCACCATAGACGCGCCCACGCTATGTGGCTCCACCCACTTCAGCAAGGAGCACTTTGAGGTGGCGGCCATTCTAGAGGAGTCCCAGGCAAGAAAATGGGGTTGCCATTGGGGCCAACGCTCTACTTCAGCCGCTTTCAGGAGGACACCTACATCATCAGCGTGAACGAGCAGCGCGAGATTCAGGGCTTTATCACCGACCCAGTGGATTTTCGGAAGTCTGTTACTGGGGCCCCAAAGCTCAGGTTTCCAGTGTCCAGCTGGCAAGCTGGACACCGTTATCCCAGATGTAATTGTAGGGTGGATTTCATCCAGAACAGCAACACCCTGGAAAACGTCACCGTTGCCCTGAAGGGCCCCACTGGGGTTGAGGACGTCTACTTTGTGGGCGCCAGCTCCAGTGGTGTAGTAGCCCACGTCATAGTGTCCCCATACATCGAGGTTCCCCAGGGAGTGTAAGTGTTTCCCTACGATTTCCCTCCAAGTCCCTACGCTCCCAAACATTCCCTAGCTACGAATGCACGATAGGCAGTCAGCGCAACCCGAACCTCTACCAGCAACACTTCCACTTTGCGCTGGGCGGCGTTTATTCGCTGATTATTCGCGAAAACCACGGCAAAATTCAAGTGAGGACAAAAATGTCCGCTTAGTAAATTTAGGTAACGTAACTCACCAACGCTAATGCCCAGTTTGTCAAGCTCTACACAATGTCCGATCCGAACTGTGTCAACATCCTGTGGCAGATTCCGCAATACTTTCTGATCTCGGTGGCTGAGATCATGTTTGGGGTGGCCGGACTGGAGTTTTCCTTCACTCAGGCAGTTGGGCAGTCTGAAAAAATAACTGTTTATTAACTCGCTCTTTTGCAGGCCCCAAAGAGCATGAAAACTGTCACTATTGCTGGATGGTATTTGTCCACCGCGGTGGGGAATCTTCTGGTTATCATCATAACGCAGCTGAATTTGTTTAAAAGTCAGGTAACGTGCCAGCAGTTGAAGAGTCAAAGCCCGGGTTAGGAGGGTGCAGGGGAGCTAATGAGCAAATGTTTTTGGTTCATTATTCAAAGGCGATTCATTTTCCATGGCTTTTCCACTAGCTGCTTCGTTAGTAAGGATTCAACGCTCCAACTGTACGTCCGGATTAGGCGGATATAGTTGGGGCGTTGGATCGTTCCAGTTGCACTCACCAATGGAATACTTTCACGGGTTGATAATCGTTCACTAATCGTTTTATTTAGTTTGTTATGGCCCCAAGCAAATGTAGTTTCATTGAGTTGAGGCTAATTGATGAACAGAAGGACTAGTTTGAGCTAGTTTGAAACTGCTGTTCAAAAATTATTTTTGTATACCGGTCAACAACAACAATGGAAAATTACGGGACAGCGCCGCCAATTGAAAAACTAGTTTAACATCAACAGTTTTCAACATTTTCAGAATCATAGTTGGAAAAGATTTGACGCCCCAACTGTACGGCCGCTGTGACGAGCATATAGTTGGAGCGTTGGATCTTTGTAGTTGCGCTCAGCAATGGGTTACTAGCCAAGATTTTTTTTTTTTGTTAAAATTCCGTCGCCGGCTTTGAGTTATAACTCATTAACCATTGAGTTAAAACTCATTAACCCAGAGAGGGGCAACCTTGCGTTTTTATGTTCAAAGCTTGGTTTTTGGCGGAAAAAACCTATTGGAACTGCTGGAGGCTAACCCCCGGTTGCACCGTTCTCGCTTTAAACACTGATTAGCTAAACACTGATTATATCTTAACCGATGTTTAAAAAAAATGCATTGCTCCGTCGCAAACTAATTGTCTGTTAGTTAATCAGAGAATCACTATGGCACCTTCGCTATTTTGGCATAGGTTGCTATCTTCATGATTATCGAATTTTATTTCACATGATCTTTCGCAGCAACACAGCCAGTAATATATTGGTTATGTTATATTTTATTGTGTACTCCTTGTCTTCATATATGTGTACTACTGACCTATAATATATAATATATATTAGCCTTGTTCTATGCTACTGACTACTGTACTAGCATGTACTAGACGTCGACTAACAATGCAAATCAAAGCTCTAACAAGGTCTGAAATAGCTGAAAAATACGACCAACTGCTTGATAAACGGCTAGAACTAGCAGATTTGCAGAAAAACTTAATCTTTTTTGACATTAAACTGGGTGTTTGTATTAATTTTTATTGAAAAAACTTAAAAATTAAAACTCCGTACAAGGTCAAAGGCAACGTAAGGAACTTCTTTATAGTGTAACTCACTCTAATAGGTATTAAAAAAATACGAATTACAGTTGAGTCCGGATAAAACGAACTTGAAAAATGAACTAAAACTGGTTCGTTATATCCGGAGTTCGCTATAAGTGAATAATAATACAAAAACACGTGGTGTATTTTATTTCGTTATTTTTACATAGAGTAGTAGAAGTTA